TATCTTTAATCAATATTTTTTAATTACAACAATTTTTTTAGTTTTTCACTAAAAGACATAATACTATTTATCTCATCGTCACCATGTACAATATATCTCTCTCCCTAATAAGTATACAACATAATGGTGTGAAGTTTTGGGGAAATCTATGTTGCGACCCACTGGGAATTATCACGTTGAACAACTGAACAAGTTTTCGTTTGTTGTATTATCACCACTGCCTGGAAATTATTTTATCGTGTTGAAATTCCACGTGAATCCTCAATGTTTATCTTTAACGATTTCCTTTAAACCTTTACCGTGTATATTCAAAACTTGAAGTGTATTCTTTATTGAATAATTGGCAAAACTTCGTATCTACCCTATTAGCAATAAAATGTTAGCGATAAAAGTGTATAACTCTAGTATAGAGTCATTGGTATATTGTTATATGAAAATAAATAAACAGAAATATATTGTGTAACAGCTTTATATAAACCACATATACATACATAATAATTTGTATATATTGATAGAGATATCTGGTGAACAATCTAGACTAACAATATCTAAACTATATAAATAATAATAGTGAACGGTATTGCTATTTGTATTGTTTTCGTTACTACGAGTTTTGAGAGGGTAGGGTGTGACATATAAATGTTATATTTTATACGTATCATAATAATTCGTAAAAGATAAATATAAACACTGAGATATCACAACGTCACAAAAGTGAAAAAAAAAAGGAGTAAAGATAAAATTATAATATTATGATATTATTAAAACTGATTTATAAATTGTACTGTATTATTGATAGGCTTGAAAACCGAAATAACAAATCGTAGAAAAGTGAAAACAGGAACAAATAAAAAAATATGTGCATATAAATATAACGTACTTTTGGTCCTGGAGGGGATTAACTTAGTTGAAAACGGTAACGCTGTATGTTTGCTGTCTCGATAGACTGGAATTACCGTTTTGAGTGACAGACCTTTTTCCTTTATACAATTGATCGGATAAAATGCCAAAGGGAGTTCAAATGCATCCTCACAATCGTACTGTAGGTGTGTGCGTCTGTGCGTCTGTGTGTTTGTGTGTGTGTTTGTGCGGTCTACAGGACGCAAGCGCTTTGAGCCGGACAGAGTTGGGTAAAAGCAAAATTATCGTGTCAGGAGGATTTACGTCCAAAGGCAAGCGCCGCCGGACCACTCGTATTAAATTGGAATTTGACATAATTTTTTACCACCGACCAAACGTCCTTCCCAACTCATACGGTTTAGCTGACATTAAAACACCTTTCTTTCTAGTCCATGGTTACATTTTGTACGCGAGTGCGTGGCAGAGATGAGGAGCGTCGATCATTTTATCTATTACGAGAAGTCAACGTGAATTAAGTCGTTAATACCACTACCGTCGGACATAGTGCCACAATAGTAGACGGTCGTGACTCATATGTTATTCCAGGGCACTATTCTGGTAGGTTCTAAAAAACAGAGAAATGATATATAAGATGTATGCAAGTCCAAAATTGGTTTGGAAATTTTCCGGATTTGGACGCTCGTGAGTCGTGATCCAATAGTGATCCCAGCCGATTTTCTCTGAATTAAACTGTTATATTGTAGTTGATAGTTCATATTCGGATCGTCTGGCACAAAGAGGGACAAACTTTTTAACTTTAAAAGTAAAATAAATAAGTACGGTGACAAAAAATAAATACATTATATATCATATTTATTTATTTTATAACCTAATAAATCTTGGTCTGAAATAAGTGAATTTATTGAGTTTGCACACCGCTGGTAAATTTCAGACGCATGCGATATAATATATATTTTAATAGTATACATGCAATTGAAAGATGAATATATTTAATATGTTTGTATACAAATTATGTTTACTCCATGTCTCTGTAGTTTTCAAAACAAATTACTATAATATATAAAACGGTATAGTAACATACTAACATCACATAAATGTTTGTATTAAGCAGCGCTAATTATAAAACTACCTGACAAAAGACGAATATCCCATTTATGGATTGATATAACATAAATATTTGTTACTTCTCCTTTTAACAAGATTGTTTTTGCTTTTGCTCTAAAATTAACATAATTATCTTATACTTTAGTACGTAGGCGCTTTGGTTGCTACATAATAATGCGATAACTTAGCTGCTAATGTAAAGTAATAACATTAACGAATTGATAAAATTTTGTCGTGAGATTTATAATACAAATGCAGGTCAAGACATTTCATAAGCGGGACGCGGGTGTTACACTTATTCGAGTCATTCGTATCAGGGTAATCATTAAAAAAACTAAAAGCATTTTACAACTATCTCCATGCATTTTATTTTCTGTCCTCGATATTTAGAACTCCTAATGCCAAAATTAAATATACCTGTAATGAATCATACATATATTTTAGATTCTGAGTGGAACGATGAATGTATTGATTTTACAATGATGTGTGTTTTTTTGTGTTTGTGTACACGTTAAGTAGTCGAAATAATGCTTAAATTTTCAACTTCAGTATCTTGTTCGCTTGGAAAGTGAATATTTTTGTCGCATTGAGGGGGTCAAAATTTAAAATTCCCAGAAATTTTCAAAAGCGCCAAGAAAAACAAAAGAAAAATTAAGGAAAAACGAGAATTTTTAAGTGAAATCGATTTTTCATAAAATCGACTTTGGTTTTAGCGTAACTTTAAAACAAATGACCATGGATACATGGAATTCTACTGGTTGTTTAAATTTCCATTTTCTATACATGATGAAATTTTCAATATATTTCGATTTGTTTTAGACTGTTTAGGGACATTTTAATTTTCCAATTTTATTAGTTTTTTAGGTTCTGAGTGGAACGATGAATGTATTGATTTTACAATGATGAGTGTTTTTATTTATTTTTTGTGTAAAAGTACTTGAAAATTTAATACAAGACGACTACTATTTTGTTACAATGATATTTGAAAAATATTAAAAATCCTTAGTCACAGTTTTTTTTTATAAGCATTTAAATTTCAAAAATTTACAAAATATGGAAAATCACGAAAATTAGCAAATTATTTTGAATTAAGAATTCGTAAAAATTTTTCCTTTTAATTCTTATATTTTAAAATGTAATACAAGATTCCTTATAAGATTATCTACCTTTATCAAAAAAAAAAGTGTCTATAAGAAGGTCAAATTAAATTTCTATAAACGTTTGAAATTCAATTTTTTACATAATTGAAAATTCACTCGATTTCTCATGTACCTATTTTCTTATTTTGTTGTAATCCAAAAACGAATAACTGTAGATACATAAGAATTTTACTGAATATTTATTTTATCAATTCTTATAGTTGATAAAATTTTCAAAATATTTTGACTTGTTTTGAGCTGTTTATGGATAATTTCATTTTTAATTATTTTTTTAATTTTTTTTTTTATGAATATAAATAAAGTTTTATCTGTTGAGCCAAAAAGTGTAAAAATTTAATACAAGCCTTCTGATGTATTTTTACAATAGAAGTCGAAAAATATTAAGAATACATGGGCACAATTTTTTATTATAAGCATTTAAAGATCGAATTATGATAAAATTTATCAAATTTAAAATTAAATAATTATTTTGTTAAAAATGTATACAATTTTGAACTTTTATATCTAAGGATTTAAAATTGAATACAAGATTCCACGTAAGTAGTTAATTCTATTACCGAAAAATCTAAAAAATACATAAATACAGTTTATTTTTATAGTCATTTTAAGTTCGAATTTGGACAAAATTACATGTTATAAAACCTAGAATAACTATTTTAGTTATTTTGTTGTGATTGTATAATATTATTCGTGGGTACTTGAAACTTTTAAAATATACTACTATATATCTATGATAGTATCATGGTTTGTTATTGATGTATAAAGCATTATAAGTACCCATTGGATATTGTGATATTATTAATTTGGAATTTATTATAGGTCATTTTTTTTTCACACATACATAGATAAGTATATAATATGTCTTATACCTAGACTGACATACCGTCTCCGCTCAGAAACGTTTTTCTTATACAATGATATTATATCATTGAATTCAAATTTAATACCATCCATTATACAGTGACCCACTTGTAACCTACTGTACATCAGAGCGACTTTTTAATATTCTACGTTATAAGAAACTAATAGTTAAGTTATGACATTTCTGGGTTTAAAAAGCATAGTGGAACTGTGGAAGAGTTATCGGGAAAAAGACCGCAAGGTGGAAGTAAGTTAAAGTCTCTAAATACATTTCTCTTAAAAGTAACCTGTCGGAGATTCGCCTTCCTCTCCCCCACTTTTAAACTTAAGTTATCTATAGACTATAGGACTTTAGACCCTGTAACTATTAAGTTCTATTTACGCCTATGATGTAGCTACAAATAATAATAATATTACAGTCGTTGGACAAAAAAAATGGGCATTAAATCCTTAAGCTGAAAGATTAGAATGATGAATACAGCCAGTGATGTATATTGTGTGATACAAATTGTATAATTTTGTATTATACAAGAGTATTATACGTCATATATAAAAAAATAAAATACAAATAGTATAAAAAAAATCTGTGATAAATGGTAGATCAATAATAAAGAGAAAATATATGCAATACATAATATTTCAACTGATAACAGTACCTAATATAACGACGGAGCACGGCCACACAAGTACCTAACATGGTTATTGGTAGGTGGTAGTCACGATCATAGGAAAGAGTTGAAAAAGATCAACACCAAAGAACTATTCTAGTCATCGATCTATTAACCTAAGTTATATGATTCTAGTCGTAATTATTTGTAAATCGTTTGTAAATAGTAGTCTGATATCTATCTATCTACCTATTATCTGAGTAACTATATAGACGAAACGCGCACTGAGGTAGAGTTTATTTAAATATAATATATACTAGTGGATATGGTTAAAATGAAAAGTAAGGATACAAAACTCGACGGTATACTGCTACTGGTGCCACGGGTGGCCGGAGATCTATGCCGGTCACCGTCGTCTTGCAGTCCAGAGATTTGGCCAAGGTTTTCGAGGGGCGTTATGCGCCTTGGCGGCAACACCCGAAACACAGCCGAACCACGCGCTTGACTCCACGCCACGCGGTGGAAAATCGAGATCGTCGGCGTCCAGGGTTGTTGCCCCCGGGTCCAGCCCACTCGACAGGTGTCCGGAACTGTGACTAGGTTCACGACCCTCGGCCGGAACCGTCTCGATTTCTTCCACCGACGTACAGCCATCTCCATCCGACCGGTCCTTGACGACGATGATTGGTGCATAAGATAATGTCGTGAAATCCTCGTCGCCACCGGGCAACGTCGGTTCACGGCCGCTGTCATCAACCGAACAGGTCTCTTCCGTCGAAATATTTATTATTAGCGTATTAATTATGTCTTCTATAAGCTGATTAATAACATTCTTAAGTTCTGTCTCGTCGAAGTTCGAAGCTAATTCGTTAGCAGCCATTATAATGATAAGGTAGGTACATGTGTTTTATTGAAATTACAACATTTGTAAATGAATTTAGTATGAAAATAGTTTATATTTGAATAAATGCATAGTATAGATACATCTAATATGATTTTTATTTGAAAATCTGGTAATTTTTAATATGAAGTTTGTATATATTTTCAGTGAAAATATGATTTTGTTAAACACATTCGTGTACCTATCAATTATTTAGATTAAAGTTGAATACAAAACATATATATTTTATATCGGTTATGTAGACTGTTGACATTAAACATTTTTGTGAGATTTTTAATATTTCCTTATCCGTCTCATTAGATATATATTTTTTTTGTTTATCATTATCAAGATCTGTGTAGTACCGATATACGTTGAGGTATACATATGTTGTAAATATGTGTTTATGTAATGTAATCCATATAATATGTTTAGGTGTTTGTGATGTCGAAAATACATATCGGTATATGATTTAATGTGGGTTTGCATATCATACTATGTTTCACATGTTCATGTAACTGTAGAAATAGGTGGAGGCTCGATTATAATATTTTTACTTATTTTTATATATATATTATATAATTCTCACTGCACTTGACGAATAATAGTACAATAATAACAGTAACGGATTTATTTTTTCTCTTAAATACCTATAATCCATGTATGTATATATAAGCTATGATTATAGTCTAATGTAATCTCATACAATATTTCAATGTATATATGATTGATTAAAAATATAAGTAAGTATCTATAATATTATTCATGATAGGTCGGCCTAATAGTATTGTATATATATATATATATATATATATATATAAAGATACAAGAATGTATGTACGTTCCCACCTAAATGCTCATTGTAGCATGAGCCTGTATGTAAAATGACTAATAACATGGAAGATTTATAAATGTTTTATTGATAAAGATGTTACTATAATACTACAGATGTAACGTTAATTATTGTGTAGGTACCTATTTCGAGATTTTTGTAATAAACCGCATAAAGTACCTATCTACTGAAATGAGAGATATTGTTAATAGTTCTTAATTTTCCGATATTATAACTTATACAATGATATATAGCAGAGGTGATATGCCTGTGTGTGTGTATACACACGGTAAGATAAAAATATTATACAAGTGATATTATGACTGTTGTAAGTATGCGCTGATAAAATATAATATGTGTCGGTAGTCGGTCACTTGAGTGATATGTAAGTTGCATGCGTTTTCACATATTATACGTTTTGCTCGAATCGAATGGGGTTTCGTTGGTGGTGACTGCGACTGGTAACGCTTGTGTTTTTCCCATGCACATGCATGAGTTATAATATGTATAATATTATGTCGGTAGTGATATGTAAGATTTCATCTATTCTGTGGTTATATGGTGTAATATCTAATAATATATATTATATACTATATACAACTCTATACTAAAAAGTGAATATTTTGGAAATAATAATTCCTTAATATGTAGGTAATATAAGGCGAGTTTAGGTAAATATAATATAGACTAGTGGATATGGTTAAAATGAAAAGTAAGGATGCATAAGCATATTTGTGTTTAATTCAAATTTAATAAAATAAATGTTGTATTATTTCTAACATGAAATGTACTGTATCAACGGTGAAGTCAAAATATGATAGTTTTATTTTAGCATTTAGTGATCAAACTATCTCGAAGACGACGTCTAAGACCCTCAGAGTCGATATCCTCTATTCTCCTTATTCTGTATATACCTACTAGTTACATAAATATATAATTTGATGTATGTTGTCGAGTAATCCTCTGAGCTGAATAAAATATAGGTAGATCTACTTATTTTAATTGAGATATTTTTCTTTATTATGCGTGTTTAAGCTTAGGTACTATGACCTCATCTAATAGAGGTTGAACTATCTAGATGATTATTGGGCATAACAATTTTGTAGTAGTAGGTATAACCAATTGATGAGCGATGTTGTACTTTTTAGAGTGGATGTATTGGAATGTTTAAATGCATCTATGTAAATTTGACTAAGTATGTATTTCATGTGTGAGTGTGTCTATATGTAACGAAGTGTCTTAAATTTATATGTAAGTTGTATAACAAGATTAGATGTCTATGATGGTGTATATAATATGAAAGTACCTATTTATGTATGAATTCTGTATATTATATGTGCCATGTATGGGAATAAATGATTATATATAGATAATACAATAATATGTAAGTTTTATAGTATGTTTAGGTGTTTGTTATAATGAATGTAATAATAATTTTTGAAATGTTGTGTTACACGGTGGTACATGTAGAAATGCCCGCTTAAACTGATGAAACTTCCCTGTAAAAAAGTGCTCAGAATATCCAAATATGTATGAACTAACGTAACCTATGAGTGTATGTGCATGTATGTGCTAGAGAAAAGGATGAACGAAACTCATCGACATCTGTAAACGGTTGCCCGTATATAGGTATATTATATATATTTCTGTATGTTGTCAGGTAGAGGAATGTCTACAAATATCTCTATACTTTAACTTGTATATTTAGAAAAATATAATTTTTTACAAGTTTATGTGTGTGTTTGATATACATTCCGGTGTATAACGTATGCTTTAACGATTCGTTTTTTCGTATGTAATTATATAATAAGAAAACTGTATACTATTTTTATGTATGTTTGAATGTATGTATGTATGTATGTATGTATGTATGTATGTATGTATGTATGTATGTATGTATGTATGTATGTATGTATGTATGTATGTATGTATGTATGTATGTATGTATGTATATATGTATGTGTATGAGAGTTCATATGTAATTGAATGAATAAAGGACTGGGTGGCTTGTTTGTGTGTGTGTGTGTGCGTGTGTGTGTGCTTGTATGTATGATAAGGTATATAATATATATGTTGAGCGTGTGTTCAGAATGAAAACTGATGAGTACCGTATGGTATCGTGTGTTTCATAGTATATTACAGTTTGTAAGTGTTTGGTCATATCATATTTATATGTATAAATATACCTATGTATCGTATATATTATGTAAATTGTATAATATTTTCAGGAGTTTGTGATAATGATGTGTATATAATTGTTTGGATATAAATTATGTAAGTGTGTACCTATATATGTAAACTATATTATAATATATTTGAGATACATTCCGGTGTATGCTTTAGCGAGATGTTTATTTGAATGGGATTATAATCTGAAAATGGTATAATATTTTTAGATATGTGTTGTGTTGTTACCTTATATTATATTATGAGCATGTATGTATGTATGATATAGTCGATACAAATGTACATCAGAAGATTATATATATTTTTTTAAGGGGTAAATAAAAGGGGAGGTAATGTATTTGAAGTGGAAGGCATAAAATATATGTCGGTCACGTGTCGGATCGGGTGGCGAGCGACGAGTTTATGTGTGTTGCGGGTTGCCTATATTGAGTAATTAATACAAGTTTGGGAGGTGCGTGTACTTTGAATTGCCTATACAGAGCAGCCTATGATTTTACATGTAAAATTTAAGGGGGAGGTGCTCCAGAACCTACATATTTATCCTACTAATGGAGATGCGCCGTTTACTCTTATTTCATATCACTTTTTTAAAATTCAATTCAATATTATTTAAATTGTATTCTTACATGATAAAACGGAACTATTATGGCGTTATAGTTTAAATTGGTTGAAAATTGAATTAAAAATGTTGTCTCTTGAAATAATAATATAATATTTTACGGTAGCTAAAAACTGTTTCATAGGTACCAATGCTTTATATAAATTATTATCCATTTTCATCTGTTGAAGTTTTTAAATGATAAATGATGATTCTCGACACGGGATTATATAAATCTACTTTAAAATGAAGAAAATAATAAGTTGCTCAAACCGTTGTAATAAAATGTCTGTAAAAGTATTATAATTTATACCAAGTTTTAGTTTTGACAATATATTTTATATGATTATACACTTTTTTTGTGTAATAATATTCTAATTAATTTCATTTTTGAAACTTAAGTAATTAACCACATTAATTATCACTGTATTCGGTTTTAATGCGTACATAATTTCCAGAGATGTTGGTTATACATAATATCGTCGTGTGAGATTCATAACTTGACTAATGGCATGATGGGATGGGTTGTGTTTGTCGGTTTTTTTTTATGCAAATGTTCCATGATCCGTTTAAAAATGTAAAAAAAAAAATATTGTAAATTATAATAGCACCAATTCATTAAGTTATTTACAAAAATGTTATTGAATTAATGTTATTTTATTATGTCTATTTATCAGAGTTTCTCAATTGTACTTGTAAATTAAAATAAAAACTGCGTTTTGTTAACTAATTGTTTAAAAATGGTAAATTTAGAGTTTCAGCAAATGCCTTGGCGGCAACACCCGAAACACAGCCGAACCACGCGCTTGACTCCACGCCACGCGGTGGAAAATCGAGATCGTCGGCGTCCAGGGTTGTTGCCCCCGGGTCCAGCCCACTCGACAGGTGTCCGGAACTGTGACTAGGTTCACGACCCTCGGCCGGAACCGTCTCGATTTCTTCCACCGACGTACAGCCATCTCCATCCGACCGGTCCTTGACGACGATGATTGGTGCATAAGATAATGTCGTGAAATCCTCGTCGCCACCGGGCAACGTCGGTTCACGGCCGCTGTCATCAACCGAACAGGTCTCTTCCGTCGAAATATTTATTATTAGCGTATTAATTATGTCTTCTATAAGCTGATTAATAACATTCTTAAGTTCTGTCTCGTCGAAGTTCGAAGCTAATTCGTTAGCAGCCATTATAATGATAAGGTAGGTACATGTGTTTTATTGAAATTACAACATTTGTAAATGAATTTAGTATGAAAATAGTTTATATTTGAATAAATGCATAGTATAGATACATCTAATATGATTTTTATTTGAAAATCTGGTAATTTTTAATATGAAGTTTGTATATATTTTCAGTGAAAATATGATTTTGTTAAACACATTCGT